ATATATATATATATATATATATATATATATATATATATATATATATATATATATATATAGGCCTTTATATATAGATAGATAGATAATATTTTATTAAGGACCCATAAACGTGACAGTAAAGACATTTATAATGTTACAAAAGATTTCTGTTTGAAATAATCCTGTTTTTTTTTTTTTTTTACTTTCTATTGATCAAAGAATCATGAAAACGATAATAATTGATAACGATGTAGCACCAAATCAGTGTATTAGAATGATGTCTGAAGGATCATGTGACACTGAAGACTTGAGTAATGGCTGCTGAAAATTCAGCTTTGCCACAACAGGAATAAATTACATTTTAAAATATATTAAAATAGAAAAAAAGTTAATTTAAATTGTAATAATATTTCACAATATTACAGTTTTTACAGTTTTTCTCTCAAATAAATGCATCATTGGTGAGTGTAAGAGACTTCTTTCAAAAACATTTTGACCCCAAACTTTTGAATGATTGTTTGAACAAAATAAAAATAATATTTGTTTAAAAAACTTAGACTGGTTATAATTCACTGATCTTTTTTCCACCAGAGAGAAGCATTTAAACGGCATTTAGTATTGAGTGGTATATCAAAGGAGTCATGGACAGAGGAAAGTGAGCAAGCCTTGGATAAATCCATCTCAGACTTTTCTGTCAGGCTTTGTCTACCATCACCCTTTCACCGGCCTACGCGTGAACTATGCCATACCAGCTCAGGTATGCTGCAGCACTATTTCGAGAAATTACATTTAACATCCTAATCAGAGCCTTTTGTGTCACAATCTCATAAAGACTGTGAAGATTATTCAGGGGTTGTGCGTTTTTATTTTTATAATGATATTCTGAGCTTCAATTTAATGAAGAAACATGCAGAGGTTTCTCAATAAATGCATTCTTCATGCTTTGCGTTAATTTCTAATGCATCTGGTGACTTGCCAGGAGACCACTGATCTCATTGGTAAACTGTGTGTGATGACCTCTGGTGATCCATTAGCACTCAAAAACATGAATTACCAGCATCTTCTCTTTCCCACTTATCCATCTTCTACCACTCTCTCTCTCTCGCTCTCTCTCTCTCTCTCTCTCTCTCACTCCCCCCAGGTGGTTGAGCACATGTCCTACTTCATTCAGGCAGAGGATAGTATAATCACAGAGGAGAGTTTTAGGAGCTCAGTGCAGTTTGGTTCTGTAAGGGGAGGGGCCATAGAGGGTCTCCTCAGGCTGATGAACGGCGTTCACACCCCTCAGGTCACCCTCAGCACTGCCTGGCCAGAGACCACCAAGAACAACTATTGCACCCCTTCCTCAGCAAACTTACAGGTAATGACAGACAGTCACAGCGCCATCTAGTGTGGGCCCTCCTCAGATGGTAGCAGTAACCTCCTGTATACACTTGCATGTTATTTGTTGTGACTTTATAGTTGGCACAGCATGAAATAGATGTCTTAAAATGCAAAAATAACAGTTGAAAAGGGGGCCATGGAGGGTGTCTTGGCAGTTTTAAAATCGTGTACATTGGGGGGAAAAAAAACAAAACGGAAATTGCTTCTGGAAATTGGACAAATAATTACAAAGAAAAACAATTAACAAATTAAATTAAACATGATATTTTTAAGTATTAAGCCTGAAATAGCATTTTCTTATAAAACATACTCCAGCAATCTTTGCTTTATTTACAATTTTGAAAAATCATTTTTATAGTGCATGTATAGTAAGGAACTGCTTAAAGTACATGCAGTCTTTGATTAACAACTCTTTCAAAAATAATTTTGTAACATTTCGCACAGCAATTTCTTTTTCATTAAGAACGTAATGAAAGAGGGTGCCTGGGTGGTTCATTATTTACATACATGCTTACTGAAGTGCATTGATTTCTCTTTTACTACCACTTTCTATTTCAATTCACATTTATGTTATTGATCCTTCCTCTCATACATCTTGCAGTCAGCGGTTTGCTTTATACAGGTATATGTTCCTTTCACATTAGGTTAAGGCCAAGCACTACTGACCTGAGATCATATTCCCGTTTTGTATTTTGATTTGCTCTCCATTGGCTTAACAGGCGTAACTGATTCAGAATCAGTGTGTCTGTGGGTTTTTTTTTTGTTTTTTTTTTGCAATCTGACTGAGCTTCTACACCATCAGCCATTCAGAGGTAATCACCTGGCACAGTGGTGCACCGTGATGGTTCAATTATTATGCTCATCAGTCCAATCAGCACACCCACATCACCCAGAGCAGCACGACTCTGACTAACCAGAAATAGCACAGCCACCAATCACAGGCTCTTCGTACACGGGGAAAGGCACTGACACAATGCTCCCGGGTAACCAGAAAGTCGTTCAGCAATTTTTTTGCATCCTCCTTTAGCACATCAAGGCGTTAAGACTGAGGGCCAAGAAATACATTTTAAAAAGCCAATGGAGATATATAGAAAGATTATTCAAATGCCATACCGCAAATTTGCCTTGAATCTGTTTTAAGTAAGTTTAAAACATAACAATGAGGTCACAAATTGCTCTTCAGTGATGTATTCAGCTAGCTAAGTTGTGTAATTCAGAGGGAATTCAGGTTAAAAATGAAAAAGAAGTGAATAAGACCCACAGGTATGTTGATGTTAGCCATGCCTTTTCCAAAAATAACAACACTGGTTCTGTTCATTCTTACTCTAGCCTTGCCAATTCGTCTCTGTCATTTACCAAAGCTGAAAAATTTGGGCTGGAATTTGTACTGAATAAATAGATACTGTATACCCACTCCTACACAAAAATGCCACACACTCCATAGGATTAGACACAAATACACACTCGTGCACATTTTTCACTTCTCAGCCATCTGACTTTTTTTTTTTTTTGATGTCTCATTTTCCCTCTGGTGTATCCCGTTTGCTTGTCTTTGTTCTCCCTGTAAAGGCCAATCGAATGCTGTCATTGTGTTCCTACATTCTCTTTCTTTCTATGTCTCATAACTGCTGTCACTGAATGAAGCAGCCAGCTAACTTGTACACATTGGCCTTGTTCCTTTTAATCTTTTCATCTCTCAATACGCTATGCATTTTGTATCTTGCTCTTTTTTTTCTCCATCAGACTTCTTCCAAAAATTTCATGAGACAAACCTCTATTATCTTTTTATCTGCCTTTCATTCTTTAAACGTTCATTAAAGTGGATGCAGCAAACATCGTTCTGATGTCTACCATAGAAGGAGCAGCAGATACTGTAGAAAACCGCAAAGAAAACGAACAGTAGTCATAAAAAACATTTGTGATGGCTGACACGTGCCACACATGCATAAAAGCGTAGCAGTAAACTTTTACTGTGTTTCCCTTTTATGCTCTGGTGTTGATTCATTTCACCAACATGCAAAGCACTATAATGTGGGCCAGATTTGCTGTCTGCAGCAGTGAGAATGAGGAGTGACATGATGGATGTGATGATGTGCTATACGTGGTGTTGCTTGTATGGATGACTTTCACTGATCGAATTACTTATGTCCAACTGTTGTTCTTCTCCACAGACAGCAGATATAAACTGCTGGGCAGCACGGTGATATACATCCCTCTGGAGGCTCTGCAGCACCGCCCAGAGGTGGCCGTCACGAACAAGAGTCTGGTGCGAAGGCTGGAGAATAACACTGTGCTCGTGTGTGTACAGTATGTATGGGTGCTTGCGTGTGTAAATGGGTGTGTGAGGGCTTGAATAATTTCTGATGGAGTGGACTGTGAGGAATGAATGGTGTGAAAAGTACATAAGATGCCGTATGCAGGAAATTTCATATACCGAGGCAGTCCGTGGCTAGAGCCTGTGAGTGTTATTTACACAGTAACCACAGCTGAAGGGCAAAAATAAAGGACTTATTCAATTCAACACTGCCATGCTGCTCTAAGACAGTTAAAGGAGTCTTTATTAAATTTGGCGGTCCTGGAGGGGTCCAGGGTTAAAGGGACATACTGGGGGCACTTGGAGGTGTTGGAGAAAAAAGGTATTTTAGAAGCTAACTTAAAAAAAAAAAAGAAACCACAGGACATGTTATGAATGATACCTCACTCAGGGTCTTTTACAGCAGGCAGCAGAGCAAAGACTGTTTGTCCTCCAAACACTTTTATTTAAAATTTCTCCGCTGTCTTAAAGTCAACATGAAGTCAGAAGTTACCCTTTCTTTTATACAGGTTTAGTTTAATGTATATTAATATATACCGTTCAAAAGTCGGTAAGATTTTTAAAAATGTTTTTAAAAATCTATCATGCTCACCAAGACTGCATTTATTTGATCAAAAATACATTAAAAACAGCCATTACTCCAGTCACATGACATACAGTGGGTACGGAAAGTATTCAGACCCCCTTAAATTTTTCACTCTTTGTTATATTGCAGCCATTTGCTAAAATCATTTAAGTAAATTTTTTTCCTTTATTAATGTACACACAGCACCCCATATAGACAGAAATACACAGAGTGTGTACATTAATGAGGAAAAAAATTAACTTAAATGATTTTAGCAAATGGCTGCAATATAACAAAGAGTGAAAAATTTAAGGGGGTCTGAATACTTTCCGTACCCACTGTATATCATTCTAATATTCTGATTTGGTGTTCAAGAAACATTTCTTATTTTTATCAATGCTGAAAACAGTTGTGCTTTTTTGTGAAAATTGTGATCGTTTTTTAACATTATTTGATTGATAGAAAGTTACAAAGAACTTAATTTAATACCCCGTAACAGCCACTGTTGTGTATGGTGACAGTCAACAAAGGATCTTGATCCAGGAACAAGTCCCAATGGGGTAAAAACCCTTTAAGCTAATTCAGATGTCACTGAAGTTGTCCTTAACTGTGCCAAACTGACTTTTGATGAGTAAAATCACGGCAAGTCAGGATCACGCCAATGACAGGATCATGGCTCTTATGCAAGGTACCTAATTTTCCTGATTCATTCAGGAACGCAAATAGTGTGTGTTTGCTCAGAGATACACAACTTATAACTCTTCTGTGGCTTTGTTTGGAGCCACTGTTGTGTATGGTGACAGTCAACAAAGGATCTTGATCCAGGAACAAGTCCCAATGGGGTAAAAACCCTTTAAGCTAATTCAGATGTCACTGAAGTTGACCTTAACTGTGCCAAACTGACTTTTGATGAGTAAAATCACGGCAAGTCAGGATCACGCCAATGACAGGATCACGGCTCTTATGCAAGGTACCTAATTTTCCTGATTCATTCAGGAACGCAAATAGTGTGTGTTTGCTCAGAGATACACAACTTATAACTCTTCTGTGGCTTTGTTTGAAACTATTTTCTTTGATGGAGCAAAAATAGACAGTAACTGGCAATATTTTGTCTGAAGTTAATCAGTATTAACTTCTTGTTTATGTAACTTGTTTAAAATCTCGCAATTGCTCATGTGATATTGCTAAAATGTTGTTAATATGTAATCCTTTTTTAGTATGATTACATTGTGTGTACATTCTACAAATGCAAATCGCCTGTGCAAAATGATTGAGTAAAGTGATATATGGTAGGTTATCTCTTTATGATATCATCGAGTGAATTGATTTTCAGTACTCCGACAATGAAGATTGATCCCACTACACCCTTTTATTGCTATGCACGAGCCTTTGTCTAGGCTCACAGATCAATCACTTTATGCATAATTTTGTATGAATCGGCTAAGCTCTCATGCTCAGAGGTTTTCCCTCAATCCACTCACACAGACCTGTACAGTCATACTAGTACCTGTTGCCTGGATCCCACATGCCCCCTCCTCTGCTTCCTGCACATCAAAGTTCGGATTGCTTTGGGCTCCGCCACATTGATAAGCCATCAGCCACAGTCGTGTAGCACATGTAACACGTGTTCTTCAGATCAGAGGAGCGGGGCCTTGCGTCTCTACACCACCCGCTCGCATCACTTCACTTGCTTTTCATTTCCATCCCTGGCTCCTTGAGAGCATCAGGGAAACCGTTTAACCTTCTGTAATTACGCTCTGACCCTTCCTCTGCTGGAATCACATGGTACCACTGCCACTTTGTTTCCCTCTCTTTTTTGTCTGTTTCATTTTTCTTTTTTCCTCTCTTTCATTCTCTTTGAAAACACATCAAGGCAAATCAGACTGCTACAAAAACATTTGGTCTAATTGTTTCCTGAGGGGTGAGATTGTGCGCACATGCTGAAATGCCCGCATTGAATTAGCAGTTGTTTTCCAGAGGGCCATTTTTATTCTCTGAGGTCATGTTTGCACCTTTGACCTGCATGTGCTAAATGAGTTAAAGTCTGGACAATCTTTTAGTCCCATTTGTTTCCCTTTTGTTCAAATTAAAGGGATAGTTCCCACAACAATGCAATTCTGTCATAATTTACTCGCCTTCATGTCGTTCCAAATCTGCATGACTTTCTCTTTTCAGTGGAAATCAAAAAATATACACTGTAAAATATCGATATCCTGTTAAATTTACAGTAAAAAAAGCTGGCAGCTGTGGTTGCCAGAAATTCACTGTAAAAATACTAATACTGTTTCCGGGTGTTACGGGATGCCTGTATGTTTTGCAACTAATAACCGTATATTTCATTTAAGTGATATAATGTTAACATACCAATCTACTTGAAGAACCAAAATCTGCTTTTTACTATAAAATGTACTATTAACCACCATAATAATACTGGTGGGACAACAAAAAGCCACATGATGAATCTGAGTTGATTTGTAAGTTGCTTGTCCATTAAACATAGATAATACTTGTATAGACGGTGCACAGGGTCACTCACAGAAAGATAAAACATCATCATGGTAACACACATGACACTAAAATAATACAATAAACATTAAACATCTAAATAACGAAAATACAACAAAATACCCTATGTACATTACTGATAACAAAAATAAGAAGAAACTAAATTATTTACATAAAATATATATAATCATGTGATGGCAAGCAGGTACCAAGTTAACCATTTACAGGTTTTCACTGTAGCATTTGGGTTTTAAAATGATTTGTGTATGCAATAAAAGTCAACATGGTACAGTGTTGTTTCAGACCCCTTTGACTTTAAGTGTGTAGACAAAAACGGTTAAAATATTCTTCAGAATATTCTTTTGTATTCCACAGAAGAGAGAAATTTATACAGGTTTAGAACAACATGAGGGTGAGTAGAAAATAACAATTTTAATTTCGGGGTGAATTACCTCTTTAACCTCTCTAAGCTCTGCTTGGTCATTGCAGTACCACCCCTCAACCAAAAACACAGGCAAATCCGGAGCCCTTCTTTTAGCCTCTCAGACATGTACTTCTATTCATCCACAGCATTGTAATTCTTTACACACTCTTATCCAGACCAAATGCCTGCGGTTCAGTCAAGTGAGCTCTCTGCACTTTGTTCTTACCTTGTCAAATACACAGACTATCTCATGTGAAAAGTTCTATTGTTATAGGTCAGTGCTTGTGCTATGAAAATGGCTTAGGTTATGCTATAATGATTTTTGAAGTGAAGGAAAGTTGTCTTCTCTTGCAATGAAAAAGAGCCTTCATCAGTTTACATGCATTTTTTTTTCCTGCTGGAAAATTGAATTTCTTTTTGCCTGAGTAAAAGATTCCTGCAACTGATATAGGCCCTCTCTCTTTTATGTTTTTATTGTTATTCTATGAAATAATGTTGCTTTTTTCTCATGGCAGTTCCTCCGTGCCATGAATGTACTGTGAGTTTAAATCACCCGCTAAGGTCAATTAATGCTCACTGACTTGAATCTTGTACCTGGTTCACAGATTTGGCCCACGGTCCTAATGGACTGATGGGGGATCAGTCCTGACTGATCAGACTGATGGGGGATTTGATTCCCCTGTCCAAATCTGAAAATAAACATTTTTGAATAAATTGAGGAAACTGTTCTAAAATCAGAGTGTACTGGTGATTTCTATCAACACCCATATACAAATACATCTAAATGGTCTGTACAGTCCACCCAGTGCTTTGTTGTCATTGGCTGCGTGCAGTAGCGTGTTAGCAGTACTGTGTTTAATGAAGGTGAAATGGGCCCTGGTATTTGCACTCTTTTTCAGTGGGTTTCTCCCCCTCTAAGACGTAGAATAACATAAGAAGCCTGATTATTTCAGCAGGAAAGCATTTTATTGTGCTTGCAGTGAGGATGGAGAGAAAGAACGGAGGTAGAGAGAAAAGACATGGAGCAGAACTAGCTTTCTAAGATTCAGTTTCCAGTCAGAGGTTTCCAGCTAATAATTTCCAATCAGAGGGCATTTGAGTCACGATGTGTGTGTTCGTGCGTGGATTGTCACGACCACCTTCCCTTGTCTCTCCCTCAGGGCTTCAGCATTTCTTCTATTTGTTTTCAGTTTGTTTCCCCCCCGGGCCGATGTCCTGCAGAGTTTAGCTCCAACCTGCCTCAACACACCTGCCTGGAGGTTTCTATTATGCCTAGTAAGAGCTTGATTAGCTGGTTCAGGTGTGTCTAATTGGGGTTGGATCTAAACTCTGCAGGACACCGGCCCTCCAGGACCGAGTTTAGGCACCCCTGCTTTAGTGGCTCCGTAGAACGCATTATTTGTTTTCCATGCCTTTCTGCATATGGATTCATGCTTCGGGCACACCCCCTAACCCCGGCCCCCTCCGATGCCAATTTGGTAGCCATCGCCCAACCCTACTATAGAGACATCCGGGTGCTCCAGCTGTTTACCATTATTTTACACATTTAAGTGAGAATATTTCTTGTAGGGAGGTGGATGCCTTTTCTTGTGTTTACAATAGAGAGGGAGACAGGGAAGGATCTCTGTATTTTTTCTTATTTCCTTTGCTATTTCTTAAATCTAGTAAGCATACTTTTTTTTTTTTTTTTTTTGTTTTTTTCCCCCCCCCCCCCCCCGTCCTGTTTCTCGGAGATGGTAGAGCCTACATTGGATTTAATATCATTTTCCAATCAGCCAGCGCTAGGGGCCATGGGCTTTGGACTCCGGTGTGCTTTTCCATTTAATACCAAGAGAAAAAAAAACAGAGGTAAAGAGAGTTCAAATACATAAGGCCTTCAAAAGAATAATTTGTAATAATTGTGCCGGCATTCTGAGACTGATGTGCTCATTGTTATTTCGTACATGAGATTCACAGCTCTATAAGCCATCTGCTTTTCACTGTATATTCCCTGATATGAAACACCATCTGCCAGGGTTTCTTAAAGCTCAGCGCCTGTCATCTATTCTTACCTCCTACGTCCACCTAACCCTACTCACAGCTCCCCAAAGAAAGCCGGCGACTCGTTTTTTTTCCCTGCACCAAAGTTAAGACACGCTTCTCTGCTGATTTTCAAGAGCTGCTGTGACAGAAATGGAAGAAACGTCTCTGATTGAACAAGGCCTTTGAAATCTCTTGAGACGCAGGCGTTGGGACATGTGTTGTCTTCATTTACAGAAGGTTCTTTTTTTTCTCTCTGTAAAGAGAGGAATGAATATATATATATATATATATATAATATATATACTGTATATATATATGTATGTATATATATATATTATGAATACATAAGCTGTTAAATTCTGTGGCTCTCTTAACCTTTTGCTTAAATTAGAATTTTGAGTCATTTACATATCAATTTAATTTGCTCTTGTTTTGTGCCTCCTTCATTAAAACAGGAATTTGCCTGGCACTGTAATCAGGGTGTAGTACACATTACTGCAACATTGCGCACACACACACACACTTTTCTCTCTCTTGCTTCCATATACACATTCTTTTTTCCTTCTCCCACAGATATACACATGTACTACTTACTTTCTGTTTTCATTCTTTCTCTCTCTCACACACATGCTTGTATACGGTTCATCTGTCAGATGAAGCCGAGATGAATTGGAATCTGTCGTTTCACATCCTCCACTATATACACTATATATCACAATAACTAAACTTTTTTTCTCTTCTCTTCCTCTCTCCCTTCTTTGTTACCTTCTCTTCATTCTTTTTTTTTTGTTGCTCATTTCTATACAACGATCTCTGTTTTTGTAAGGTGTATAGGACTGAATGACACCAGGCACAAAAGCCAGGATTTTTACAGGAGCAAATCCTGTTTGATTCATAGCAAAGTCTGTACTCAAGGTTAATCTACACCTGAATGCGGAGCATATTATGGCTGTGCTTGCTTTGGTATAGTCAATGCAGTTCTCTCATTAAACATTCATTTGCAAATCCTCCGTTATGAAGCTGAGCATTCTGACATGCAGTAGATACAGACACAAAGACAGATTCATACTTGGATCATTGGGTGTTTCATTTATATATCTATACCGTGTGTGTGTGTTTGTTTTTTTTGCAGATTAGTACTGAGATCATCTGTCGGTGTTGTCGGGAGATTTCTCTGGACAGGATCTTCCAGGGTTACGTGATCTCCAGCAAGCAGATTCTGAATGACTGTATCCAGTGCTGCCTGGCCTGGAAAGAACTCTACCTGCACACCTCCCAGCTCCACCACAAGTACTGTAGACTTCAATCATCATTTCTGTCTCTCTCTGAGTTCTGCTCTGTTCCCTACAGCACAGGAACACACCACTTAGAACTGCACTGTGATTGCACTGTATTACAGCAGCACCCATTCAGATTACACGCAATAACTCTGAGAGATACTACGGTCAGCAGTGACATGTAGTGCCGTATCATTTCAGATATAATTAAGCTTCTCCAGTGATTTATCTCTGCTTACACTCTGCTGGGTGCTGTACTATTTCCTATCAGCTACCACTATTAATCTGAAGATTACCATTACTGCTAATAATATTATATTACTTAACTTCTGGTATGTTTCTCTGCACTACTAAATATGATCATTACTATTTTCTTTTTACCTTTATCATCGTGGTTATCTGCATTACTACCACTACTTAATTAAATTACTCAGAATTAATATATTCACAAAATATGATTCCCGTATTTGTAAGCTAATTTAATGTTTTTGAAAGACGTCTCTTATACTCACCAAGGCTGCATTTATTTGATCAAAAATGCAGTAAAAATATTTAAAAATGTTATAATTTAAAATAACTGTTTTCTGTTTTAATATATAAAATGTAATTTATTCCTGTGATGGCAATCCCATTTTTCAGCAGCTATTACTCCAGTCTGCAGTGTCACATGATCCTTCATAAATTATTCTAATATGCTGATTTTGTGCTTCTTCTCATTATTATTATTATTATTATTATTATTATCGTATTAAAACAGTTTTCGGTGCTGCTTAAAGGGGACATAACACACACAGTTTTTATCTCATGTTAAAAGAGTCGAGCTCCTTGAGGAGTGCTGTGGGCGGAGCTAAAAAGTCACGAGCACGTGAAGCTATTAGGTTGTGAATTACCTAAGCATTTGCGAATCATATGTACAGTATATGAAACCACATCCTCTTTGAGGATATTGAGTCACATTGCGCTGCAGATAAATAGCTTTGTTAATATAGTTTATCCCTAATAATACATTACTGCTTTAGCAATAGCTGCCAGTACCACTGCTGTTACCACAGCCTCTGTTTGGCTACTCCAAATTCGGTTTAATAGTCAGCTAAATGTTTGTCCTCTTCTAGTGCTTTTCCATGCGAGTCAGCTGTACACAGATAGTTTTCAGCACCTGGTCTTCCTTTTATAAGCAGATTCTATATAGCAGCTAATAAAGAGCATGCTTTAAGCCTATATCATCTCTGTCTTTCAGCTTTATGGCCCTTCTTCTCCCTGTCATTTCCACCATCACTGGCTCTGCCTAACCCACCCAGTCATCTCAGCTTCTCCACACAGTTCTTGTGCTCATGCTCTCTCCCTTTCGCCATGGAAATGATACCGCTGCTAAATGAGAGTGCAAAAGCTGTTCCGTGATTGCAGTCTTGCTGCTAAAAAGAACAGCATTTTACGGTGCGATGACAGAGTTTCTTCTTCAAAGTGATGGCAACTTGCTGCCAAATGACTAAGGCTGAACACTGAACCATTTGAAAGGAGCTCTCTCAGAGTCATCTCCTGAAGTTTTTTTTTTATTGCACTTAGGTTTAGGTTGGCGTTTCTTCTTTTGGTGTAGTGAAACTTTGCAATACTGTTTCATCATGTCTCAGCAGAATGCGGCGTCTGCTTTGTAGCATTCTGCTGTAAACTATGACATAACTCATAGTGGCTGTGATTTTATAAGATGTTAACAGTGTAGCAAATGCTGTATTGTTGAAGTTGAATGTAACCGATTCAGTGGGAGGGATACTCTGTAGAGAAGGAACATTTATTTCCTAAGCAAGTCTTCCCTACAGGATACATCCATTCAGTTGTGACTTTTAAAAACAGCAAGGGGCTCCAGAGGTATTTCGCGGAAAATAATGTGCAGTCAACCAAACACAACACAATGTTCTTAGTGGGTTACACGCTAAGGTCTCTCGCTTTCACCCCAACCCTGCAGTTTTCTTGGATTGTATAATATTTTTAGTGTTCTGGGCCTGCTGGTTGTTTATGACTGTTGGCTCCATTTGTTGTGATAGAAGCAAAGAGTTTGTTTTGCCCTCCAGACACAGAAATCTCCGATCCTTCACTTGAGTAGCTGACCTCATCCTCCAAAATAGAGCCAGTGTTCAGACAGCACAAGGAATACAGTGTTCCACCTCTCTTACCAACACTGTACAATGATTCTTGCTGTAGATGGAGTAAATATTGTTGAATAACTAGCAGATATACCACAAAATTGTTGAATTGAAATGATTGAATATTTTTGAATATATTACTTAACTTTAAAGGGGGTCGGTCATATGATGTGATTTCAAGTTTTCCTTTCTCTTTGGAGTGTTACAAGCTCTTGGTGCATAAAGAAGATCTGTAAAGTTGCAAAGACTAAAGTCTCAAATCCAAAGAGATATTCTTTATAAAAGTTAAGTCAACCACGCCTACCTAAAATGGCTCGTTCTAACACGCCCCCACATGTCTACGTCACTATGTGGAAATATTAGCATAATGCCACCCAAATGTACACGCAAAGTAAGAAGGCGTGGTTTCAGGAACAGCAGTAGTGTTGATGCAGTCATGTCAGGGAGACGCTGTGTTTCAGTGTGAAAGCAAAAGCACTTTATTTAGCCTTCCGGAAGTAGATGCAATTAGGAATCATTGGTTAAGATTTACTTACAACAGAACAGCACAACCCAGATGTTCGAATTTGTGCAATGCATTTTATGGACGACAGTTTTTTTTTTTTTCCCTAGAAGAGTACAAGGCTGGCTGTGCACAAAAGCTATTTCTAAAAAAAATCAGTCTGGCGCTTCTGAATCAGCGACTGTAAGTATGTTTTATTATTAGTTTAAGTATTTGCTATTGACTGTTCAAACACAATGCACTGGGTCAGCTGGCCAATCAGAGCAGACTGCGCTTGTCAAAGGAGGGGGCTTTGTTGAAAACAATGTGTTTGAGAGAAGCGGGGCATAGAGGACCTACAATAATGTACAGTATTTGAAAAATAATTAGTTTTTTGAACATTAAAGCATGTCAACATATTCTGTTACACCAAATACACAAAATAATGATCTTTAAAATAGCATCATATGACCCATTTAACACAAGTAATGCATCTCAATGCAGCTCTTCTGTCACGATTTACCATTTAAAATTTAAAACAGGCCTACTTTAGTTTAGTCCCACTTTCCCTTATGGTTTAATTATGGTTGCTTTGTTTATTATTTATTTATTTATTATTTATTTACAAAATTTGGTGACAATCAATCACAATTAATTAATTCAATTAATTCAACTTTAAAAAGCATGCAAATTCTTGTCTATGTGAAAAGTTATTTTGAAGAAATACTTGCTACCGGGTGTCTGTGAGAACAAAACACGGGCGTAGAAAAGACTATAAATATTTTTTAACGCGCACAGTAATTGAAATTTAAAACCGTTAAAAGAAAGGCTCAATAACTGTTGCACAGATATAATACACTACTCATCAATTTCTCTTCCCTTTGTGCTTTGTACTTTTTAATGCAAAGCGCTGCGTTCTGTGACTCCGTGTTGTTTCAAGTGCATCTGTCTGCACACTGGATGCGCATATTGTAAGCGCTTCGTGTCGCACTGTGTTTGTTTTGTCCTATCGAATCTATCATATGTTGTTGCCTTATTAAAAATATGCTATACATTTAAAATAAATGTATTTTAACTTTATAGTATATACTTGTATATAAATACATTCATGAATGTTTTTCATTAATGGATTTTATAATACAAACAGCAATGTGTAACATTTTACCATATTTAGTGCAACACTTTTATTTGTTCCCCACAAAATATTGTTTTTTTTTCACTAAATGTTTGGATTTCTAAAATTATTGTGCACTGATTTTTCTAGAATAACTTTTGCTGGCAAATTATCCACTAACCTAGTTTGATATATTTTTTGTCATAGATTATGAATATACATATGTTTTCATATTTATTGTTTATTTTTCTTTATAATGAAGTAGTCTGCATTTAGTAGATTCTACATTTATTTAAATGGGGGGAAAAAAACTTAACTGGTATAGGATCGGTATCGGTTAATACTGAACCCTAGGTATCGGAATCTGTATCAGAGGTGAAAAAAGCGGATCGGAGCATCCCTAGTCAAAATAGTATACTGAGGTTTGTTCTTCCATGCTATAGAGTCTATTATTAAGTATATAGATATCTGGGAGAAAAAAAATCTAACGTCAGAGATAAAATCTGTAGTTGTTCTTTTTTTTCAGTAAATATACTGTTTACCGTTTGCACTAGAGCATCAGGAATCCTAAATGTTTGAGAACTTGTGAGTAGAATCGTTATAGAAGTAGCATTACTATACTATACTAATACTAGCATTGTTATTATGAGGTGTTTTTTGTTGCAGTACCATTAATGGCCTGCCAGCTGCAGCAATAATAGCCTGCACTCCCGTGGCCTGGGCCGATGGCAGCACTTGAAGTGAATCGATTGCTGCACTAGTAAATTCAATACAGCACTGCAACTAAAATCCTAAGGCACGGCAGGCCTCCGAGGTAGAATTTGATTGTCCCTGCTTTACGATGTATTGAGTGCGAGAGTGAATGCCCTGTGTAAAGCAGACAGTGTTATAAATGGCCAATGTTAAAGCTGGATCCAGATGGTTGAGGTTTGATGTTAAGCAAAGAAAGGAGGAAGACCATTATTGTTACGCACTCACTCGCAAATGTCTTAGTCCTTCATAGGTCCGCTCTGGGTCGACATCTTTGAGATCGAGGCTTTTAGATGTCATACTCATGGTCATGTTTGATAGTAATTACAATATGTGAGCTGCTGAATACACAGTATCTGTGCTATGTGAAGCAAACGCCCTTAGCGTTATAGTTAGGGGTGCAACGGATCGTAGATGATCCGTGATCCGTACGGAGCAGGCCCCACGGTTCGGCACGCATGTCATTCGCGGATTAGCTGTTAAGTTTAACCATCATAGAGTGAAAGTTTATCATTTACACATTCAAGCAA